GACGGCCGCACGTGATCGAAAACCACAGAGCGCAAGCGTGAATCGGACCTCGTCGGTGCCGGCCCCTGCACAAGGATGACATGCGGAAATTGACAAAATGGTTCACTAACTCCACTCGGAATACCTGGACCAAGTGGTAGGTCAGACTTCTCCCATCTGGTCCCTGGGAAAGTCCCAGGTGGACCTCCCATCTGGTCTCGGGTGGGAGGCCTGGGGATACATGGACCTCCCTGATGGAAGGTCCATCAACAGACCTCCCATCTGGTCCAGCTGGTCCACTCGGAATACATGGACCAGATGGGAGGTCAGTACATGGACCGGATTACGGCCTCCAAACTTTGTGAAATACCGGGCTCGCCAATCGGACCTATCCTCTTTTGCGTATACCCCTGCTGGGGCCTGGGCAACTTGTCTATATGCCCTGGTATTTTGGGCCGTGGACCCTGCAGATGGCATAAGAAATGCACGGCCAGGGCATAGTATGGCAACGTTGCCAATGAGCAGGACGGGGCCAGATGCAGAATTTTGGGGCATTTCAGCATAGCCCTATGTTTTAGGGGTATCAAATGAAATTACCAAACTTTTAGGGGCATTGCAACAATTTTCCCAAGAAAAAAATCAATCCTGTCAGGTATGCCCAGAGCGTAATGTGGGAAGGAATTGAGTGAGAGTTATAATTTTGTTATTTAATTGTTATTCCCACATGGGGACACTGGGCCCGATTCCCAGCAGGTGCTGCTCCCCACCAAATGAAAGAGGCCTCCTTTGCACCCCTCATCCTCGTCCCTCCTCCCCTGCMCCCCCGCCGCTGCCCCCCCCCAAAAAAAAGCCAAAAAAGGAAGGTGACGATGTGGATAATTGCCACTTCTTGACAGTGTGACGACAATTCAGGAGAAGAATGGCTCATGGACAGTGCCGTAAGCCCGGTAGGACCGGGGGCCGTCCCCCAACCGGAACCGGACCGGTCCTACCGGCCGGTCGACCGGGCCGGTTCCCCCGCGGTTGGCCGTAGCGCCAAATACATCCACAATGACCCCCCGGAAGACGACTCACATTAGCTCTTAACTTGAATGCATCTGACAGACTGACACAATTCACGGGCAGACCTGGATGAATCTGACTGCAATTACATCCATAAATAACTCAAAAAAATCCTACCTTCTTCACCCAAACACGTCGTCTGGTCATTATTGCAGTGTATCTAGACTGAAGATATGCCAAATACATCCACTATGACCGTACGTCATATTCAGGTAAGGAAGGTAGTGTGCTCGTATGCCCTCAGACCCGTCTTCACCTGAAGAGGATGCCAAGTCATTGTTTTTGTAACTCTTTTTTACCATTTCAGCAGTTGGCAATATGTGTGTCATCCTTGCACAGGGGGCATGCTAATTGCCCTTCTGCGCATCGTTCCAATTCTAACGGATGTCCTGAGGGATGCTAGGACCATTCTTGCGAGGCACGGTCAGCCGCTCTCCCTGGCAAGAGTGGTATGCTCTGTGAAAAAAAAAAAAAAAAAAAAAAAAAGGAAGAAGATGAGTGGTCTGCTCACAAGGGAGTACAGTACACAGACCCAGATCAATCAGCCAGGAGATGGGAGACATTTGTGTAGGATGCATGTGAGACTGCAGAGCTCTGCACCTTATTGCATAATATGGCTCTATTCATTGTATCGTGCGCCCAAGAGAGATTGGCAAGCTTGGAATGCTGCAGTTTTTTTTTTTTTTTTTTTTTTTGACCTCCCATCTTCTCTCAGTTCTCCGTATCTTTTTACGGCCTAGCCACACCACAGTTTTTCAAAAGCACAAGTACATCTTCCAGAGGAAGTGGCAAGATGCATCCATTACTATGTATAGCAAGGGATGCATCTTCCCACTCCGTGGGGTAGATGCACTGGTACTTTTCTTTTCGTTTCGACAGTGGTGTGGCAAGGCCGCCCTTAATTCTGTTGTTTCTGATAAAAGCTTTTTTTCTTCTTCTTTTTTTTTTTTTTTTTTTTTTTTTTTTGGGCAGATAGCACATCTTTTACGATCGACACTTTTAAGGAAAATTCGGGATCCCACTCAATTTCCGCAGAAGTACGAGGCGGACCTGCTCTGCTTTGTCGCGGATGCGGAAACGCCGTCGTACGTGGCGCTGCGAGCGCAATTCAAGGGGCGCTAGTTATTTCGAAAATGGAGAGACACCAACCTGGTACCCTGCCCCTGAAAAGAAGGCGGCCCTCTTCTTGGTTTTTTTTTTTTTTTTTTTTTTTTTGCATGTCCGCCATTCGTCCGTGGTTGGTGAAAGCCCTGTATGGTTCGTGAAAGTCCCTGCCTCGTCGGCTATGTGGAATCCAAATTTTCTTTCACGGACCATGCGGGCCCGGCTCCACTGAAAGCGGTTCTTTTCGGTTCTTTCAAAACAGAGAAGAAGTGGGATCAGATTCTAAGCTGAAATTCGCTCTCACGACACACTGACACTGGGACTTTTTTTACTTATTGAAGGGCATGACACTGACACTGAGAGTTTTTTTTTACTTTTTTAAGGACGTGATTGTGGTCAGATGCATGCAGGTACAGCCGTAAATACGGTCAGATACATTAAAGATAGACTCTGATAGAGCCAGTGTCAGTATGTTATCAGTGCTTCTGCCCTGGGTGGAATTGTGAGGTCCCCGGCCTCATCATATGTTTTAAAATATGAAAAATAAACATAATTTTGTAAATTTTTTGTTGGGAAAGAAGAAAATCTCCTGTGTATCGTGCCGATTTCAAACCACCAGTACAGCCAGCTATCGGCCGCGGGCCCTTTTCGGACGCCGCCCGCCGCCGAATCGCTGGGCCTCCAAAATTTTTGTAGGCGACAAGTTTTCTTTTCAGCAAGGCTGGGGCCACGTACTGGCGGGTTAACAGATGTCCCAAAGGACTTACGTATGCCCCGGGGCCAAGTCCCACTAGCAGCGTTGAGCTACCTCAATGCCCGAATGTGGACGCTTTTGCGGAGATGTGCAGAATTGGTGTCGAGTTTCCTGAACTGCACGTCTCCACAAACACGTCCAGATCCAGGCGTTGAGGTAGCTCAACGCTGCTAGTGGGACTTGGCCCGACTGTGTATTGCCTTAAAAATATACATATATTTTTTTAAGCAAATTTTGACTGTTTATTCGACTTTATTGCCAACAACAACACAAAAAAAAAACAGTTGTTGATCCCCAGACTTTTCCTATCTCATTCCAAAGGATCGAATGAAAAAACAAAAAAAAGGACGTGGGGGAGCAGACAGAGGGGAGTACAATGCTCACAGAGAAATGCTGTCTGCTTGTCATTCATTCTCAGATACGTCTTTCAAAACTCTTCTCTGTGTTTCTTTCCTCAACTACATCTATCTATACCTGTATTTGTGGTAATTTCCAGTCTAGATACAGTGACATTTGTTGGGACAACTTCACATGGAATCGCGGCACAATGTGTGTGTGTGTGTGTGTGTGTGTGTGTGTGTGAGAGAGAGAGAGAGAGAGAGAGAGAGAGAGAGAGCATCATTTACACCTTAGACTGTTTGCAGAAAGAAAGAAATCAAAATACCAAGAGTCAAAGACATGACATAAAACAAAACCAAAAAAAAAATCAACACAACGACATGAAAGAGCCATAGTACAAGAAGGAAGGATAAACTGGGTAGGGAAGCAGAAGACACTATCTCTTATCTATCTTCTCCCCCAAATAGAACGCCCAGTCACCATTGTCCCTACTACTTATACAAGGCTTCCAAGCTATTTTTCCAGTATGATACAATCAGGCCGTACTCACATTCGGACTGTTCTGTCAAGCTCTGGACGTGATGGCAGTCACATTCATCCAGATCAAGGGTGTAATTGCAGCCAGATACATTTAGAGTTGGACCCCACAGGAATGCGGAAAGGAATATTTTTTTTCCGCGGAACTGTTTCCGGGACCCCACAGGCAGCGGAGGACCTTGTGGCAAAAGTGAAATGTCTTCCAAATAGTGTTTTCCGGGACCCCACAACCCACAATTTATGGCGTGGAAGAACACGACGTATGGCCGTTTTCACATCGGCGGCGGCGTGGAAAAGTCACTCAGGAGGACTTATCGCCACGATTTTGCGCCGACAGTCGAGAGTGAGGGAGGGAGTGCGCGGGGTACTTTCCAAGGCCGCCGCCCCCATTTAAACCACATGAGAGGGCACGGTAATTCCTTGGGTCCACCCCACGCCTTCTGGACACTCGGCCACTTTCCTTTTCGGGACGCTGGCCGGGGGACCTTTCCTGTTACGGAATACCAGTTGCGCACTTTGCCGCAAAACGCAGTCCGCTATGAGGTCCCGGCAAAACAGTTTTCCACCTTTCCGGAATTGTTGGGCCGCCTTTTTTTGTGGCCAGACGTTTTTTAACTTTTTTTCGATTGTTTTTTCCTGTGCGGTACAACCAACAAGTGCCAGTGTGAGTATGTCCTCAGTATGGCAGGCGATGCATGTGTGGAGTTTCGGAGAGGAAAATGTCATATTGCTTAAACAAAGAAATGAAGTAGTTGAAGTAGGTAAGACATACTAGAATTTTAAATTACTAAAAAAAAATAAAAAAGAAGTAAGAAGAGTCGTAGCAAAGACATGAATTGATTAAAGTGGCATTAGTGAGGACAGCAAAGTCCTCTTCTTAGAGAGAGGGGGGGGGAGAGAGAGAGAGAGATAGAGAGAGAGAGAGAGAGAGAGAGAGAGAGAGGGGGGGGGGGGGGGGGGGGGGGGGGGGGGGGGGGGGGGGGAGGGGGGGAAAGACGCGATAACCATTCAAACCTGGAGTTTTCTGGGTGAATGTAGTGGTAATTACAGTCCATTTACACAACAAAAGAAAATCCCGGCGAGAATATCCTGCCCCCGCAGATATCGAAGCTAGGCAGAGTCAGAGACACAGAAGACTTAAGTTGTTGGGAGACAAAGAGGCTAAGGTACAGACAGAGACAGAGCCACAGAATCGCTTAGTTTGCGAGCGAAAGCTGCTCGACCGACACACACAGCCACATAGGAAGACACGAGGATATAAGGTTGGGCGTGTGCGCTCACCCCTCACAATCCGAGATCGAAGAAGTGAGACAGACCAGAGGGACAGAAGACTAGCGCTTGGGAGAAAGAAGTGAACATATGCACAGAGACAGAGCCACAGGACACTTGGTTCTGAAGCAAAAGCAGCTCAACAGACCCGCATAGCCACATAGGTTCGCCGTGTGCGTTCCACTCAGAATCCGAGATCGAAGAAGCGAGACAGACCAGAGGGACAGAAGACTAGCGCTTGAAAGAAAGAAGCGAACGTACGCACAGAGACAGAGCCACAGGACACTTGGTTCTGAAGCAAAAGCAGCTCGACAGACCCGCATAGACACATAGGAAGACACAAGAGGATAAGGTTCGCGAGTGTGCTCGCCGCTCATCCCTCAGAATCCGAGATCGACAAAAAAGCTAGGGAAAGACCAGAGGCACAGAAGACTTAGTCATTGGGCGTTGGGCGAGAGAATGTAATGGACAGAGATAGCGACAGAGCCACAGACGACTTGATTATCGATCCAAGGCAGCTCTTGATTAGCGACGAACCCACGCAGCCACGTAGGAGTGAAAAAGGAGGATAAGGTTTGCGTGAGTGGGGGGGGGGGCTCCCTCTGGATGGAGGTTGGTGGTCCCGTCTCATCCACGGTATTCATCGCCGCAATCTCCGATGATAACCAGGAGGTCTCTACTCTGTCCAGTGACGGTTTCTAATCTCTGTCGATCGTCTTCGTCTAATTTGAGACCGAAGACCTTCTTCGAGTCCTCTATGTGCTGTGCAATTCCTAGTCTAACCCCGACCATCGATCCACCCACGGCCGACTGATCGAGCACGAAGCGAAGCCCGACGGTCGCCATGGACACGCCATGCTTCTTGGCTATGGTGTTGCACTCCCTCAGCAGCTGTTGAAACAACTCCCAGCCTCCCCACACATCCACCATCCTCTTGTACTTGTTGAGAGACGGCGTGTTCAGGGTGGGCCCGCCCCAAGACCCAGGTTGTCCCTTTCCGAGGTACTTCTCCGACAACAGCCCCCCAAGCACTGTCCCATAGGTGATCAGCTTCACACCGGTCATCTGACAGAGCTTGGCCATTTCCTTGTCGGGTCTCTGATCGACCAGAGAGTACTGCACTTGATTGCTGGCGATACTGATGCCGTTCTCGAGTATGATTTGCAGCCTCTTTGTGTCGAAGTTGGTCAGCGACAGCTGCGCAATCTTGCCCTCCTCTTTCAGATCTTGCATGTGCTTCAACGCGTCCAGGTAGCCCGGGTTCGCGTAGTCCCACCAATGGAACTGGAGCATGTCGAGACGCTTGACGTCCATTCGTTTGCGCGATCGGTCGATGTTTTGCTCGACCACGCTTCTCGTCATCTTCACCGGCGAAGGGCACCACTTGGTGAGGCCTTGAACCTTCGATGCGTACTCTTCGCCCCTTTCCCTCAGAGCTTGATTGTGGAACAGACCGAACAAGTCCTCCGCGGGACCGTAATGGTCGGCCATGTCGAACGTAGTCAGTCCGTTGTCCACGTGTTCAAACATGGCAGCAACCGCCTTGGACGGTTCTATTCTTCCCCAGCCGCCGCTCGTCTGCCACATGCCATTCAGTATGCGACAGATCTGCAGCCCGCCGTCGCCTCCGACCGTCGTTGTCATGCTGGAGGAGGACACGTCAGCGTTATCTGCCACGGTTGCCACACCCACCTCTCCATTGCCACCCCCGCTGGCGCGTGGCAGCACAATACCTGGTTGGCGTTGAGAGCGAGACTTCTTGTTGCAGCTGCCGCCTTTCGTCTCGTGGCCGACAATCCGCTCTTCGGCGCGAAAGGATGAGCCGCAGGAAGACGACAACGACGTTGATGCAGAGCAAACAGGAGCGCAGCAGCGTCTGACAAGCTGGAGCTCGCTCTCTGCCGATGACCGGCGGCTGGACCGCACAGCGGCACATAATTGGCACACTGAAGGCCCCAGGCTTTGGTGTCTGGATGCATCAACCCTCCCCCCTCCCAATTTTCTGCGGAATCCAGCTTCTTGGGAGTGCGCAAGCTGACCCAAACCCACCACTCCCGATCTGACAGCCTGGCCTGAAGCTGCCATTGCCCCGGCCATCGTTGCCCCCCCCGTCTAACACAAATGATGTCAAATAAATGAGAACAAGGACGGTGACGATAAAATAGCTGCCGTGGACGGACGTGGTCCCCAGCACCAGATTGGAGCAAGATGCAAACTGGTTCCAGCCCGCTTGCCCCGGTGTAAACAGATCCCAGTGCCTCCCTGCTCTGTCTTGGCCGCTTCTGAAAAGAAACACAGAGGCAACGAGAGACAGAGAGAAAACGAATAGAGAGAACAAAGAGATCAGGGAGGGGGGGGGAGGGGGAGCAGGGAGAGAGAGTAGAGAGAGGAAGAGAGGACGCGCAGGCGGATGCAAGGACGGTCAGGCCGTCAGCCAAGCAGATTGGCAAGCAGGCAGGCAGACCGATAGACAGACAATCACACAGACATAAGGAGAGAGAGAGAGAGAGAGAGAGAGAGAGAGAGAGAGAGAGAGAGAGAGAGAGAGAGAGAGAGAGAGAGAGAGAGAGANAGAGAGAGAGAGAGAGAGAGAGAGAGAGAGAGAGAGAGAGAGAGAGAGAGAGAGGCAGGCAGGCAGGCAGGCAGGCAGGCAGGCAACTTTCAGCCTAGATACACAGCCAAAATGAGCTTACGCTCTTTGTGCACGTGGATAGTAGTGGAGCGAGGCCCAATGAGAAAATGAGAGGCTTGCAGCAGGAGAGAGTTATTTTTTGGTTCCTCCGCAGCCAAAAGGGGAAGCAGGAAAGAGTTGTTTCGGTTCCACCGCACTTGGGCCCAGCGAAATCAGCTTGCAGCAGTACATTGTGTGAGAGGCTTGGTCCTATCCGCCTGGGGCCTCGTCCCAGTCGCAGCGTTGAGTTTCCTCAATGACTGAATCTGGACGTGTTTGTGGAGATCTGCAGAAATCACGTTGAGTTTCCTCAACCGCACCTCTCCAGAAACACGTCCAGATTCAGGCATTGAGGAAACTCGATGCTGCTACTGGGATGAGGCGTATGGCGAGGAGGAAGGGATAGAATGGCAACGTTGGGGATTACTCATCCCGTCTTTGCTAGAACGTTATAACGCCCCCTCATTACGACTGTATCGAGACGGAAATATGGCTTGTGTACATTTAGGATGAGGGTGCGTTGTGTTTGGGGGTACCGTCTTCCCCCGAACACAGTACCCCCGAACACAACGCACCCTCATCATGAATGTATACAAGCCATATTCCTGTTCCCCCCTAACACAACGCACCCTCATCACGAATGTATACAAGCCATATTCCTGTTCCGATACAGTCGCGATGAGCGAGGACAGAGGACGACAACCAGTCTGTACATGTCTCAACCTTCCCTTGTCTGCATGTACCTAGACTTTAAGACGGCCAGGTGCATGGATCCAACCACCATGCACAGACATCCAAGCACATTTCCACAAACCTTCGTTTAGAAACTCCGTCTGGAGCAGTCAGATTTTATTATTATTATTATTTTTTTGGGCCCAGGCGCTGTTGAACTGCATTATCCTGAATGAATTTCACCAGGCCTTTTTTTGGGGAAAATTTGTCTGTCGCCCCTGTAATTTCCATTATTTTGCATCGCGCCCCTACGACTGCCCACTTACCCTGTAGTGCTCCTCTGACCACGATTCAAATTTCCCATAAAACCCCGGCGTCGGCTGGGCCTGAAATAATTTTGTTATGCCCCTACCCGTACCGGTTCCAAATTTGCAGTATGCCCCTACCCCGTTGAGAACCAGCACCAAAATTTTCCATATGCCCCTACCCGTACGGTGCATGCATGTTTTCAGTGCACCTCTATGGCTACGCGCATGGCGGCGACTTCATCTCTCTCTCTCTCTCTCTCTCTCTCTCTCTCTCTCTCTCTCTC